GGTTCATATGTTTATATGAGCTAGTTGGCTAATCCCAACTTTTTTCATATATATATATGGAAGATGCCAGGGTCTGCCCACTAACGATGAAATTGTATAAGCCCAATGGCCCAGATTGAATCTGGACCTATCTAATAGTGAGAATTGTATTCCAATAATATAATTTTAATATTTTTTATATAAACCCAAATAATATTAAATTTCAAGTATCAACTATTCTCATCAAGATGCACCTAATAAAAATATTAAAAAAATAATTCATATAAAATAAATTGATAAAAAACCCTTGAAACTTTTCAGGGGTATTTTGATCAATTTATTTTTTATAAATTATTTTTTGGATATTATTATTAGATTCCACTATTTTTGAAGCACATATGCTTCAAATTTTAAGTGATTCGAATTTGTATAAAAAAATTAAAATTAAAATATAAAATACAACCCTGATCATTAGATCGGTTCATATTCAATCTGAGTCATTGGACTTACAATGTTCTATCAGCCCATGGGCAAACAGTAACTTTTTCATATATATATATAGGAAAAGTCTTCCTAACGCCTATAAGCGAAAATGAATAGTAATTTTGCCTACCCTCATCACCATTCAAATTTCATCGTGCGGTCACGATTGTTCGGTAGTATTTTATTTTTCATCTTCTTTCTACAAATCGAAATGATCTAAAATTTATAAAGTATGTACATCTTACTGAGACCTATCTAATAAAAACATAAAAAAAAGTATCTGTGAAAAAAATTTGACCAAAATATCTCCGAAAGTTTTTAGGGGTATTTGGATTATTTTTTATATAAATATATTTTTTTATATTTTTAAAAGATTCCCCTATTTTTTATGAATACACGCTTCAAATTTTAGGTCATTTTGAATTATAGAAAAACAATGAAAAATAAAACACTACCGAACAATCGTAACCACACGATGAACTTTGGATGGTGATGAAGGTAAGCAAAATCACTATTCATTTTTACCTATAGACGTTGTGTAGTGTTTATATATATATATATATATATATATATATATATATATCCAAATCCATGCTCTTCTGAGACCCAACCAGAGTACATTGGTACCTTGACCAAAGTTGTCCGGTCTAATTTGCACTTCCTACCCTCTCTCTCTCTCTTGCGCAAGCTTCCTCAACTCTACCCAAAAACCTCACTCTCTCTCTCTCTCTCCCTCTAACCAAATGCATATACAACATCCAAGGAAGTTTGGGGACACGAGCTTCTTTTTAAGAATGGAAACTAACTTCTCTTTATAAATTGCAAAGCTACGTCATGTTCCTCAAAAACTAGAGTGAGTAGTGTAACCCTTAACTACATTTCCATTTTCCTCACTACCCTAACTTTGGAAAGAAGGACGTTTGTATAGAGCCGAGGCTCTAAACAATCAAATTGGAGCCCACCTTCAAATAGTATCAAGAAATAAGGTTTTATTATTAGAAATCTTTGTGATCGCCTTAAAATATATTTTCAACTTTCATTATAAAATTTAAAGCTTCAAAAATAGTATAGATCGTGCATATCTATGAAATCTTGAAAATCTTGAAAATTGACGATCCAAAATGTATTGCAAGATGCACTATTTTCAAAACTTGAAATCCATTTTTTTTTTCTCATGTTCATGCCTCTTGATGTTGAGATGATTGATTTGAGGATATTTGAGCATCAAAAAAACCTCGTCTAGTGAAATTTTTGAGGTGGGCTCCAATTTGATTGTTTAGAGCCTCGGCTCTATATAAACTTTTTCCTTTATTAAAAAGTTATCTACACCATGGTATATAATACATTATACACAACTGGTGTATAATATGTGCCACACCCCAAGGACATCCACCATCTGTTCTTGATGCGAGACGGTTGAGATTAACCATGCTCGGGTCAATTTTCATCGTTGGGGCCATTTTGATCTGTATAGTATGTTCTTACTGAAGAATGTTGTGTTGTCCCATTGTTTGAAAAACTGTTGATATGAATCAAAATTGGTCGATTGGGATTTTGTAGGTGGACAATTCCGGTTTGTGGAACCTATAAAGCGCCTTAGTTCTTTGGTTTTTTTTTTTTTATTACTTTTTATTGTGGCGATTAAGGGCTTGATTTTGATTTTTGAAACACTGTTCCCTCCCATGGTGTACCATATAACATGACTAATATAACATATATTGTGGGATTATATGTCATGGGACCATTTGATTTTAGCACAAAGATGTCACAATTACTCTTATCTATCAAATATAAAATTTTAACAGTTTGAAATATGCTATGCATTTCAAAAAGATTTCTTTTATACTTTAAGCCTAATCAATGAAACACTCATAAAATATGCCATGCATTTCAAAAAGATTTCTTTTATGCTTTAAGCCTAATAAATGAGACACTCGTAATCACCTCATTTCACATCCAACAATAAAAAAAAACCTACCACCTCCTTTCAAAATTATCTTAACCTATAAACATATACTTCCTCATATATTATACAAAATCGTGGTGTGATGCATGTTCCCTCTAAAGAATCCAGGGCACTAGAGAAGCGTGCCTCTTTTATATCTTTTCTTTTGTTTCTTTTAGTATTTCATGCCATAATATGGTCAATCTAATCTTATAAAATTGACAAGAAAAAAAACCCATGTTCACTATTAAATAAGAGTCGACCCATCTTTTTCATTAAACTTTTCAATGGATGGTCCATATTTATCCTTGCCTCAAGACCTCGAAGATCTATATCCTTGATTGTTATGGTGAATATACAAATAGCATTGCGTTATTTGCTAGTGCGCTAGCTATGGCATAGTTATAAAGCTAATTTTATATTATTAATTTTTTTGGAAAATATCAATAAAATGGTCATAAGATTGAAGCAACCAATACACTACTATAGAGTGGTTACTTTTTAAAAAAAATAAGATGGTATCGATGGTATAGCCTTCATATGATGTGGACACTTGCAGGTTAGATATGCACCCTTCAATAGTTCATATTAAACATAGTATCATCCAACGATTATTTTGTATTTTATTTTTATTTTTATTTTTAATAAAAATTTAGAAGTATAGATGCATTTTTATATGATTTATCAAATTAGGGGTATTTAGGTTATTTTTTGTTTAAAATATTTTTATTAGTTTTATTTGGTAAATCATGAAAATATATCCACCGTCCAAATTTTAGATAAAAAAGTTTTAAATGAATAAGTAAATAAAATACAAAATTAGTTTATGCCCATTAGTGAGACCTTGTGCAACGTGAACGGGTCGGAAATGCTTATGGACCTTTCCAATGTCCACACATGATGTGGACATGGGACTTTCCCTTTTAAAATTATTTTGCTTTTGTACTTCTTCAATTATTTTGTTAGTAAACTCAAATTACCACTATTGCATGTTCAAAATATTGAGGAGGGAGAGCATTTTGGTAATTTAGCGACTTACTTTATTTAGGGAAAATATCTAAATACTCTACTTGTTCTATAATCCAAATTCAAAACATGTTTCCTTCACTAAAACGATTGTTCATGGTTTAGACCCTAAAACAAGTAGAGGCATTTACATCTTTCTGTTCCTGCAACTTAAATATAGTTAAATTAAACATACTCTTGCTTGTTGCCGGCTCCGAATCTGGACCATTATTTTTTAACTAAAAAAAATATTATTAGTTTAGTACCTAAAACGAGTAGCTAATTTGGAATTGAAAACAAGTAGGCGTATATAGGTCATTTAGTACAAGTGACATTAGTCATTTAAATTATCAATATGCCCTAACTTGTCCAGTGTTACAAACCAGAAACAAGGCTCATTTGGGTATTTTTGATAATTTTTTAGAAAAAATAAATATGAAAATATTTTATAAAAAGTAATCTATTTATTCGTAAAATTATTAATTTGACCATCCCCATGATTTTTAAATTGGTTATGCCATTAGAAATTAGGAAAAAAATTATATAAAGTTACAACTTTATATAGAAGTAAGGAGCATCTAAAAAGTACAGTAGAAAAGAAGTTTTTTTTTTTTTTGAGTAAGTCCATGGGGGAGAAGCCCCTACCTGTTTTCATTAATAAAAAAGAAGGGAATATAAATCATACCTTATAATGCTACAATAAGGTAATTGTGCTAAGTTATGAAGTAAAGACAAAAATAAAATCAAGCAGTCCAGAACGCCTAAATGTAGTATCAGATAAAGGTGCAGCCTTTTTGGCAAGTGTGTCTGCTACTATGTTAACCTTGCTGACCTTGCGATATATGTGGGATATTGTCCACCTATGATCTAAAAGGCTACGTTAACAATTGGCTGCTACTATATGGAGTGCACTGGTGCTCTACAATGGCTTCGAATGACATTAACGAGCATGGCTGAATCACTTTCAATTAGAAGTGGGAAACAATTGAGTTGAGTGACTAGATCAATAAAAAAGAGTGTTTTGAGGTTTAAAATCCTTTCAATTAATAATCTTGACCTCGAGATATATAGATATAAGAAGAAAAAAAAATCCAAAATATAAAATTATGCATCTTGTAACAAGTTATCCGGACCGGCTATTTCCAATGTTGATTTTTAAGTATTTATAAATTGAGAAAGTATATAATGAGACAATTTACCTCTGATATAATGTGGTCACAGTTAATCATGACTATTGAATGTGAAATTGGGTGGTTGCATTTATTGCATTGATCAAACTCAAAGTTTAAAAGAATTTTTTTTTTAACTTTATGACATACTCAAGCTACCAAATTTCACATCAGATAGTTATATGTAATTGTGATCTCTGTATATCGAAAGGAAATGGTCTCATCGTATGCAATCCCATATAGGTTTTTTTGATATCTAATGTTTTAAAATTTAAAATTTTATAATTAGAGTTGAACATAAATTTTCAAAATTTTCCGATCCCGAAACCAATATCGGTACGGACCTCACCCAGGAGATCTACCGACCTCACCCTATAAATAGGATTTCCGTAGTTTTTTATAGGAAGGGACGGCTGATATTCTTTAAAGAAGTCCTCACCCTATGACACTCCCTTACTCCCAAATTAAAATGTACAAGTGGGAACCCCATCCCTTGTCCACTGCCTTACTTAATTGATCCACTGCTTCACCCTATCTCTCACTTGATTGGTGCAGTGCTTCTCTCTCTCTCTCTCTCTTAATTGGTGCAATTAGAACCCTTCCCCTCTCTCTCCCTTAATTTGCGAAGTGCACCACCACTCTCTCTCTTACATAAATCTTCCCCAGTCATGGTGATCTGAACATATCTCTCTCAAGGAAGGGGCCTATAAATATTTCTGAACAATCAAAGGACTCTCTGATTCAGAGCAATCTAAGGACACTCTACAATGGCCTCAACAGATCCAAGTACCCAACATTCTTGTATCCCAACAAGGTGGCGTCTCTCTCCCTCTCTCTATCCTCAAACTCCAAAAATTAATTTATTTTTATTACAGTTGGTTATATGCAGTCCTTTCAATCATAATGAAAATGTTGGTTTAGCAGATGGTGGTCCAGGGATACATTAGCAGTGGTGACGGGGGCGAATAAGGGTATCGGATTCGAGATCGTGAAGCAACTGTGCGAGCTCGGATTGACGGTGATCCTGACAGCGAGAGATGAATCGAAGGGCCTTGAAGCTTTGGAATTGCTCAAAGCAAAGGGGCTCTATGCTGTCTTCCATTGCCTGGATGTGTCTAGCTCCCATTCTATTCTCGATTTTGTGTACTGGCTTCGAACATGTTTCGGTGGGCTCGATATTCTTGTAAGCTCTCTCTCTCACTCTCTCTCTCGCCAATTTTTTTCCTTCAATTTTTCTTCCTCAGTAGAACCCCCTCTCTCCATCCATCTATCTCTCTCATTTTTTTCTTCCTCAGTGAGCTGAGACCTCTCTCTCTCTTCCAGTTACCCTTCCTTACCAAGGTAAAATTCTTTGACTTTTCGATCTCTCTTTCAAGACTCTGAAGTCTGAATATGTTGGTAGTTTAGTTGTTTTTTAACGTATGAGTTTTTTTATTTACTCTTCTCCATAGTCCAAACAAAAGATACGAGCTCCAATAATAGAATAGAATGGCGGAACATGATTAGCAATTTCAAGTTAGTTAAAAAGTAATTGTCATAAAAATTAATCGGTATTTATGTAGTCGACTCCAATTAACTTAAAAAAAAAAACTCCGAAAAAGAGGATGATTGTTGGAATAATATTCGCTCCATCCCCTCCATTGACTTACCGGACTAGCTCTTGTGTCGTGTGGTCCCTCTCCCTATCAACTACACCCACTTTTCTCTCTCGGCCAACTTTAGCTTAAGGAACAAATTTTGGAAGGGGGAATGAGTCACCATATGAAGTCACCTACTCATAACCATGTTATCACTCTTGACTCTTATCCGGCTACCTTGGGTCGACTCCTTATTTTACTTCCTCTTTTGTCAATTTTCTTCTCCACCTCTACCTCTTTTGGAGATAATTTGGTTATTTTTTATTATTTAAATTATTTTTTTAATCTTATTTAGTAGTGACGTGCTTGTGCCGGTTAATCAAATTTATTAAAATTTAAATATTATCGGATAATCCTAATCATTTGTTAGACTTTTGACTTTGATGACCAGTCAGTTAAATAATATAAAACTTTACAAGTGTAAACAGGTCGGGGTGGAAACCACAACTCATCCCACATAGATCGGTCAGGTGAATGTGTGGGGCCACTATTACCTAAATTGCATAGTAATTTTTGTTAGATTCTTAATTGTTTGATCCTAATTAAACAGTTGAAAGTGTATATTATTATTTTAATGATATTTTGGTCATTTTTAAATTTTTAAAAATATTTATCTTATTGTGATGAATGATGGAAATAGGTACATAGACCCCTAAATTTCTACCTAATCAAATCAGTAAAATAAAACATAAAAAATCCAACTTAATCAACCCGACATGCATCCCACCCTACCCCGACCTCGACCTGGTTAGGTCTGAACTAGCTTAGACCATGACCACGAGTTTAGGTCCAGGCTAGACGTGAACATGGATTCTGATCCCATCGGTCCAAGTCCAATGGACCCATGCCCGACCCATCCACGTGTAGCAGGCAGGTCCAATCAGTCGACCCGACCGATAATCACCTACTCTCTCTCTAAAGTCTAAACCTTGGGTTTTGCAGGTGAATAACGCTGCTGTCTCATTCAATGCACTCCATGAAAACTCAGTAGAGCATGCAGAGACAGTATTGAGGACAAACTTCTATGGGCCGAAGCTCTTGACAGACGCTCTCTTGCCTTTGTTTCGCCAATCTCCCTCAAAGAGCCGGATCCTAAACGTCAGCTCAAGACTTGGCTCGCTAAATGTGAACTTTTGACTCTAAGCCCTAACCTCTAAACCCTATTGAATCTCTTTTATTATGTTCCCGTGGGATCATATAGTATGCTTACTTACTCAAGTAGAAGTTTAACTTAGAAAAAATTTAGCTTTGAAATATTTTTTTATCCAAAATTTTGGAAATCACCTCAAAACTACTACATGGATATATTTAAATAAAAAAATTGAACACCGAGTTTTCCAACACTAGATCTCATCCTTAAAAAATTGGACGGTTTTTATTCAATCTTGAGGCACTTTTTTTTTTTCAAGCCCAATGAAATTTGAAAACTTTTTTATTAAAGGGGTTGTATACAATGAGATCATTTTATTTTTTGTATAGGAAGGTCACAATTATTTACAATCATTCGATGTGAAATTTGATAGCTTGAGTGTGTCACAAAATTTGATATTTTTTTTTTAAACTTTGTGCTTGGTCAATGAAATAAATACACCCACCCCATGTCAATATTAATTGTGACCACATAGTAACAAAGGTAAATGGTTTCATCATATACTTTCCCTTTATTAAATATAACATATGGGTTGAAGAGGTTACATCTTTAAAATTTGGGACCCAACAAATGCTCCTACATTGAGTTTTGATTGAGGGAGTCAATGGACAGTACACTCTCGAAAGAGCATGAAATATTTTGGCTTCTTATACACTTTTTAAAGTATTACACAGGAAGAAGAGATAAATAGACTATAATGGCATTATCGATGTCAATCGTTATAGTTGAGATTTGACATTCTCTTATGCTCCATCAAAGTCACAAAAAATATATTCACTTTTTAGTGGATTTTTCTCTTGGAAGGTAACTTTTGCCGAAAATAAAATGTTTTGCTAAAGGACATGGTTATTTGTTAGGAGATGTCATGTCCATAAAACTCCATCAAATGCAATTACGTTTTGGTGAGGCCGCAGCCTTATGCACTTGGGCAGTAGAAAACAGAAAATCCGATTTTCCCAATAATTATAAAACTTATAGCTAAAAAATCTTGCAGATGTGACAAATCTATTACTTTGCCCAGTATTTTTTCAATATTAAGGACATGAGATGATGTTGATGTGGGAACGCAAGGACATTTCCATGTTCTTTCCCTTTTAAACCCTGTTTGTTTTCTCTATTAGAAGCCAATCGTGCTTTTTGGAAGTTATAAAGAAATTTTTCTTTTAGATTACTCTAATTTTATTTGAAATTTTTTTTTTTTGGGTAAATAAGTGGCGGATAAGACCGTCGTACTTTTTTTTTCCATTAAAAATAAAAGAGAGTATAATATAGCTCATAATTTTACAACTCTATATATAAAACAATTGTGCAACATCATGAAATAAAATCAAAATATTTTTTACCAATACAATCAAGTTAAATTTTTAAGTTATGCCCAATTTCCATTTAGGTTGGCTCTATGAAGGCTCACTCTCAAAAACTAATATGGCTTCTTTTTCAGAAATTGCAAGATCCAGTTCTCAAGCAAGTGCTCCAAGATGAGGAGAAGCTCTCAGAGGAAACCATAGATGACTTTGTGAAGAAGTTCTTGGATCAAGTGAAGCTCGGAACTTGGAGAGATGCGGGTTGGCCCAAGATATGGACAGACTACTCCGTGTCTAAGCTCGCTTTGAATTCCTACTCTGTTGTTCTCGCCTCCCGAATAAAGGATCGGGGTGTTACCGTTAATTGCTTTTGCCCGGGATTTACAAAGACTACCATGACACAAGGTGAAGGGAAATACACAGCTGAAGAAGTGGCCAGACTTGCAGTGCGGATTGCCCTAATACCAGGCCCTGAGCTCCCCACAGGCAAATTCTTCGTAGGAAGAAAGCCTGCCTTTTTTTCAAAGCTATAGAACAAGTGAGAATCAATCCATGGCTTATTCGCACATATTTGAGGCCAAAACGATTGAAAATGGCTGTCATAGATCTCATTTTGTATTTGTAACACAGACGTCATTGCTATATATACGCTGCAGAGCCTTTGGTTTTGATATAATTATATACGAGCTTATCAAGATCAGATTGGTCATTGAATCGGTGTAGCGCTTTGGTCTAGTTAAACTGATTCGATCGATAGTCGAACTTCGTAGATTAGATTTTTTAAAATATAAATAAATATATCCAACTTTGTTGAGCTTGTCCAATTGGTCAGGTATAAAGTTGATTTTTATAGATTTTCAACCGAACTTGCTTTTTTTTCTTCAAATTAGACCTGCCAAAATAATATCTAACTTTGTTGAACTTGTCCAACTTATCAGATCAAACGGTTGGTAGCCCGATCGGTTGTAGCACGCGGTCAGGTCTTGTCCTCGTGACTATGTTGTACTTCTTGTGCAAAGTGGTTGTCAAGAGATGCTTTTGAAATAATGGTTTTGAACAGTATGCTCCTGCGGGAGCAGTAGGTCATCTCACTTAAGTCTATAGCGTGTGACACGGTGGTGAAGCTATCGAGTGGTTGGTTAGAAGTCATCAAATAATTAACTTGGTGATTGATGCTATTGGATTTTGACAGGCTGAAAAGCTTTTGGGTTGTAGTGGTCCATGGGAATCCAGCCATAGTTTGCAAACTCAAACCGGACCCGGACTTTCAATCTATGGTTGTGTCAAAAAGTGACCAGATGGGTCTACCACGCCGGTTTTGTAAAAAGTATTTGATAGATTCCATATGGGAAAGCAAATGGAAGCAGGGTTGAGAAATTGTACAATATATACACTCAGTCAAATCATTTACCTTTATTACAATATAACAATTAATCTAAATCATTGGAAGTGAAATTTGATGGTCTCGTTATATACAATCTCTCAAAAAAAAAAAACAAAAGAAACAAAAGATCATGAATGTCATCAATTTGGATTGCCCATTTCAACAACCCTAGATCAATTTGATTTGCACCGGTTTAGGACCAACAAATTCATTTTTCTAAATTTGCAAATACACATGCATGGATTTAGAAGGAAAAAGTTTATATAAGGTTGCAACCTTAAAATGTAAAATTACATATGCACTTCAAAAATTATCAAAAAAGGTTGTTTTAATATTAAAAACCTTATAATTTATCATCTTAACATCGAGATATATATATATATATATATATATATATATATATATTATTTATTTATTTAGTTTATACTAACCAAACGTAGTATCTACAACTATATTACTACTAACTTAACTTATTACTAATTATTTAATATTTATTAATA